CTTCTTGGTATAACTTATTATGTTATGAAAGAAGTGAAATTGTTTAGTTCTGATCTAATGAAGTGGGTAAACAGTAATCTAGAGAAAGCAGAAATAACAAAGAGCAAGGAGGGCAAATGAAGATGAACATTCTACAAATAAATGAATAGCTTACTCATCTTGTGATGTTCTAGTGATGCATTGACATTCATCATGGGATGCACGTCTTTGCATATATATTAATCCTGCCAACACTGAATCATGATTTCTTTCTCCAGTGGGTGCATGTCTCGAGATTTTTCTTTAGTAATGCTTATTTGTAAAATTTTAACCATAAAATAAAACCTACTTAATCTCTTTATACTCAATATTTTTGCTGCTGTGAACTATTTCAGAAAGCGGCTATTAAGAAAATGGACATGGAAGCTACAAGGGAGTTTCTTGCTGAATTAAAGGTCTTGACACATGTTCATCATCTGAATCTGGTAAAAACTGAATTCCGTACCACTGGAGGCATGTCCTTTTTGATGCTCTTCTCATTCTCTTCTGAGGATTAGTCATGAAACTTTTGTTTTACTTACTAATCGGGATTTTTTGTTAATTTAGTTGTATTAGCTGTTACTATGTCAAATTCAGGACACATCTTGTTGCATATGAGAAGTTGCTTAACCCATCTTTCACATTTGATGTTGCCATAACAGCTCACATAATCAGTTTAGATAGTCATCTTACGGCTTAAATGACAATTCTTAATGATATTCCTGAGCAATTATTGAACATAACGAAAATTATGCATGCAGCATGAGCACACACGAGGTGATACTGCTAGGTATATCTTAATGATGGGCAATTAGCATAGTTGTAACCTTAGTTGATAGGGAAGCAAAAAGCTATGTTTTGTTGTTAGGGAACCAAAAAGCTCCGTTTTCCCTCTTTCAGACTGCTGCTTGATAAATTTGCAGAAACTTGTGAATGATAACGACTGTCAGTGTTAATGGTGATACTGCATCATTCTAGGCAAATGATGAAGTATAAAAATAATATATGAATAGGACATTTTCAGAGAAATATATTGTAGATCAGGCTTCACTTCCACCGTAAAGCACACTCCAGAAGACATTTTTAAAAGAGCAGAAAGCTGAACAAAGAACAGATTCCATTACATAGAATATTAATGTAGGAGGTTTTTAATAATTTCTATTTATTTTCAAGTGTTCTACAGCTGTAATATTATGCACTACTATTGAAGGATCAAAGGACTTGAACGAGAATCTTTTCTCAGAAATCTTCTTTGGCGTTGTGCTTTGTCAGCACGAAAATTTGGCTAAGCTTTATTTGAAGAGGACAACTGAGTGCAACTTAAGAAGTTTTAACTTGCTTTGACACTTAGTGATGTGAATAATTTGGTGGAAGGGCATCCAACCAAAGGTGGGGGTGGGGTGGGGGGGGTGCAATACTAAAACGATATATTCAATAGACTAAACTGAAACAGATGATGTAAGCCAATTGATTTCATTAACTTGGCAGTCTTGCTGCTTGAGACCTCTATCCTATTATAGATCATAAGTCAAGTGAATGCCCCAGAACGTACTTCATGTTTGCAATGGTCCTTGAAACCTATACTTAGTGTAATCTAGTTATTACCATCTGTCATTCATTTACAACAAAATAAATTGCTTGAAGTGCACATAGAGCGCTCCGAAGAGAAACAAGGACCAAAAGAAAGGGGTGCTGCGGACAGCACTAAAGCTAGGGGTGCTTGGGAAAGTAAATTCTTAAATACAAGTCGATTAATTATAAATTGATAGATGTGATGAGTGGGGTCTTATTTTGATGTGGGGCATGACACACTTCAGGAAGGATATGATACCACATTGAGATGATTAAAATCCACTTTTCTTGATTTGATATCCTGAAGTAAGTGCAGAAAGTTTGCTCCATCTCAGACATTCCAGTTGATTGGTTACACTTGTTAACGGGTTTTGCAGTTTGTTCGAGGGTCTTCAATAGTCTTAAATTGATGGTCCATTGAAACTCATGATATGGTGCAATCCTTCTTTTCATATACGCTTGACTTATCTTTCCAATGATATTGAGTGCAGGTGCGGTTGATAGGCTACTGTGTTGAAGGCTCCCTCTTCCTTGTATATGAATACGTTGAGAATGGCCACATAGGCCAACATCTGCGTGGTACAGGTAGTTTTAATGTGAACTAAATCACATGTCATAGTTAACCACTTTTCCGTTAGTTTGTCATAGTTCCTTAAAGAACTTTTAATCAATCTGGTCAATTTATTTCCAGGAAGGGACCCATTGCCATGGTCTACTAGGGTTCAAATTGCTTTGGATTCAGCTAGAGGTCTTGAGTACATACATGAGCACACCGTACCAGTTTACATCCATCGTGATATTAAAACAGCAAATATTCTGATAGACAAAAACTTCCATGCAAAGGTTTTTCAAAGAACCTTTTTCTATGTATGTACATTGAGGAAGATTCTTTTGTAATTGTGTGAATCATCTCTGGTGTAGGTTGCAGATTTTGGATTAACAAAACTGACTGAAGTTGGAAGTTCATCTTTGCAAACACGACTCGTTGGTACTTTTGGATACATGCCTCCGGAGTAAGTGCTTTCCATTTTATAGTGCAGCCTTTAAAAGTAGGAATGAAGTTGTTTGCATAACAATGTAACTTTATCCTCATCTTTTTTAGATATTGGTCACTGGGGAAAAGCGTAGTTCTAACTTAGACCACGTTTTATGAACGTTTTGCTCAAAGCTTAAATTGGCGTTTTTTAATTTATGCGTTTTCTGAGTGCCATTACAGCCTTATGTTATGGATTTGCGCAATGCTATTTTGCAGGTATGCTCAATATGGTGATGTCTCTCCTAAAGTTGATGTCTATGCTTTTGGTGTTGTCCTATATGAACTTATTTCAGCCAAGGAAGCGATAGTCAAGCCAAATGAATCTGTTACTGAATCAAAGGGTCTTGTTGGTTTGGTAAGTTCGTTTAGCATTTTTCTTTTCTCAATGATACGGATTACACGAACCCTTTCACAGGCTTGAACTGAACCTTTCTTTAAAGGGCCATATCTAAGCTCTTCATTCCTTTTGCTTGTCTCCTGCTTTTTCCTTATATTGATACCTATTTTTCCTTCTGATGATCATAGTTTGAAGAAGTACTTAATCAGCCAGAACCTGATGAAGACCTTCGCAAACTGGTTGACCCAAGACTTGGAAATGACTATCCCCTTGATTCAGTCCGCAAGGTATAAGATTAAACGAAACATGCATTGATAACAGTGGTAGTTGTTTCTTTTTGCTTCTTATAGAAGTCCATGTCTTCTCCATTACAGATGGCGCAGCTTGCCAAAGCTTGCACCCATGAAAATCCTCTAATAAGGCCAAGTATGAGATCAATAGTGGTTGCGCTGATGACACTCTCTTCATCGACAGAAGATTGGGATGTTGGATCTTTCTATGGGAACCAAGGTCTTATAAATCTTATGTCCGGAAGATAGTAAAACAGGATTTCCCTGCTTGTGAACGAGACTGAGACGACGATGCTGTTTTAAGCACTGGGATCAGTGACTACTTGTGCAGTTTTATATTGTATAGTACTTGTTTCAGTAGTGTAAGAAAGCATAGAAAGCTGGCTTTGATTTATAACACTTAGAACCAAATAACCTTCATTGTGAGTTAGAAATGGAACATTTCCTCAAGGGGAAATAAATGTTTTTTTTTTGTCTGATAGCAGTGTTTATTATTGTCCCATACTCAGTCACAGATGTCCAAAGAAGACAATAGCCAAACTTTTGAATGTTCATTTCTTGTTTGTATTGTTCAGGAGTTGTTGTTTCATGTTTGCTTCATAGCTTATGGCTTAGCAATTTCATCATTGGAAAAGAGACGTTCAAAGGATACTTTGAATTACAAGAAGGCTATCTTAATCTACTTAAAGAGTAAAAGCATGTCCTTAATCCTTATATTTGGATGAGCATTTAAGAAATTAACTAGTTTCAAATAATATAAGATCAACAATTGAGGGGTCATATAGATAATAGAATAATGAAACGCCAATTAGCCATTATTTGAAGGAGGTGAAATCCTCGAATTTTGAGGACATGCGTAATTTCCTTGGAATTTAATCATCCACTTCTAACATTAGAAATCTTCATTTGCTTTTACTATATTTAAAGATAATTAATAAAGTTGTGTCTTTTCAAATGTGATGGACTTCATACAGGTCATGCACGTACGACTTGATTCACTCGATTTTATTAAAATTTCCAATTATCATAAATTAATTCAATGATATCGTAAAATGTGTTTCTTCTCTTCATTCTCGTTCCACATATTTTGCTAGTACCGCATATTTTGTAGTATTATTACTTGCCTTCCGTACGCCATTAGTTTGCTATCATTTCATATCTTGTACGGTTATTACTGACTATTAGTAATTCTTTCATACTTTCTTTGCTATCTTGGGTTTTGTTTTCTAATACATTGTATTGATATTACTTGCTATCAGTGCTTCTTCCATCCTTTCTTTAGCCGAGAGTCTATCAGAAACAGTCTCTGTACCCTTCCAGGATAGATGTAAAGTTGCGTACATCCTACCCTCTCTACCCACTTGTAGGATTACAGTGGATTGTTATTGTTGTTGTTGTTGATTCTTGTTCAATTACTACGGTTGAAGTACCTAGTTTAAAGCAAGTAATAGATGATTGATTTAAAGATTCGAGTCGCAACCTAAATTAAAAAAAAATGTATTTTGTTTTTTGATTGTATTAACTATATTTCCAGGTTTAAGAGCTTAGATGCCGTGTTATTCATTATCAACATTTTTTTTTGGTAAAATAAATATTTTTCGCTCATCAACAAAACACTGAAATAAGTAAAACAATTACGTACTTATTTTCCTAAAAAGTATTTTTCAAAATCCGTAAAAGAATATTTTCATGCATTATCAAACACACCCTAAATTAATATTAATACTTGAAGAAAGAGAGAGAAAAAAAAGGAATTTGTAAACAAAATTCACATTAAATTTACAAGAGAGAAGGAACTCAAAGGCTCAAGCTTAAACTTCTTCAACCAGATAGTTAAATTGCTACGATTCCAGTCTAAGGCGTAGAAGTGGAGGGAAACGAAGAGAAGAAATGGCTAAAAGAACAAATCAATAGATGCTCTAATTGCAAATGGGATCTTGGCTACGTTCCTTTTTCACTCCAGCCGTGAATTGGGTCTCCGTTCAAAACCTCCAGAAATACGGTTAGCAAGTCTAATCTGTGTTTCCTTTTTTTTTTTTAATCGAATATGCATAGTGATTTTTGTCTGTCTTTTAAAATGTATATCTGAGCTTAAAGATTGAATCTTTCATAATAAGGCAGGTTTACTGTTTCTTGTTTGTTTGATGGGTGTCTAAGGATTTAGGGAGTTATATGGAAAGTAAATTGAAAAATTAGAATTTGGTTCAAAGTTCTTCGGATGAAAAGTAATATTTGAATGCAATTGTTTCCAGTGCTGAATTGTAACTTCGCAAGCTGAACCAATCAATATCTGGATTTCTTTTTGGATGATGCTAACGCCAGCTTACACGCACCTCGATTGACCACAAGCACGGTTGTAGCTATAATCCATATTTTGAAATGTCATGAACAATGACTTATATTCATATATTTAGTTTTTGAACTAGAAACGTTTCCAGCACTTAGACAATTTGAAGTAATATTTGATTAAGTGTGAAGGAGCTATGGAGATGTTCTGTTATTTGTGCTTTGGCTGTTACAGTTTTTAAATTACGTGGTATGATGGGTTTGTGAAGCTCCAACTTCTTCAAAGTAAAGTAGAGTAGAACGAGAAAAATGATATGTGTATTATGACAATGATTTCAGTGCGCGACCTGGGTTATCTCATCATTCTCTATGCTGTAGGCTCCTCTCTTTGTCTTTAGGAAGAGAAGGATGTTACTATGAGTTGCTAGTTGCAACTATAGGTTTTCAAGCAGTCATTCATTGGCTTTTGTTTAGCATAGCATTAGTTTTAAAAATTTCTACTTTTACTAGCTTATGCTACTACTCTATTACTATTAGTTTTACCAAATAATTTTTTTTAATATATAGATGAAAAACTTTAGTTAGTTACTAGTAGATTGGGCGTCTCATAAGGCCCAAACTCTAAAATATAGTTTTGATTCTAATCAGGTGCAACTGCTGTACTAGTAGTATCAGAATGATTCTTCAAGACTTCAACCTATTACATTCTTCAACAGACTAGTTAATTGCTGTGGAAAAAGTAGGAATGCAGATACATGAGAAGAAACAATAAACTATGGTATGAATTTCTCCTAACATTTGATTTCTCATTTTGCAGTAATGCAACAAATATTGCATCAGCTAGGTTGGAATTGAGGTGTACGTGCTGTCGCTGTTGCAGCAAACTTTGAGGTGGTTTTGTAACATCGAGCTATATGAATTGAGCTTAAATAAAGAAGTGAATATTCATGTAGCTGACCTCAACTTGTTTGGGATTGAAGTTTAGTTGTTGTTGTTTTAGTGGCTGTCGACTGTCTTTATCTTATCCTGCTGGTTTACTTTATGAAATATGTTTCCACCTTTGTGGCAGAAAATAGGAGTTCCAGCAACTTTAAGCTTTTCTTATTTTCTTATTGACATTAGTACTTTAATAATCAACTCAATTTCTGCAGTTAGGTGGCCTTGTATTTAAAATTGACAAAAACTGATATAGTTATCTGTATGAGACAAAGAAAAGCTGCTGTTTACCAAATTCAAGATCCAAGTAACTTCTGGTGGTACTCTCTTATGAATACTCTCAAACTACAGCTCTTGGAGACACTGTCTCACCTCGTCAGAAAGTTTCTTTTCAGGTGCAAATAGGCTTGAAAAGATAGCGGTTTTTCTGGCAGTAGAATGTGGGAATAAAAAGATACAAAGCAACAATCATTCTGCTTAAGATTTATTTCTTCCAGTTGATTTTGTATTTACGCTAGTGAAATTGTTCTACTGGACTTAATGCAATAGACATGATAGAACATTTAAAATTAGCTATAGTCATAGCTCTTGTTTGACTCAAGCTGCTATTCTGATAGGGGCTGTTTTGAATAGCTTCCTACCAGGTATCCTGGAAAACGAGGAGGCAACAAAAAGGTCATTGCAAGATGACAAATTACAAAATATTGAAGAAGTACAGAAAATCATAGGGTACCACTTTAATGATCAGAATTTACTGTGGCAAGCTTTTACACATCCGTCGTATGACAGGGACTGTATATCTTATGAGCGGCTCGAGTATGTGGGTGACTCGGTTCTTAACCTTATGATTACAAAACAACAGTTTTCCAAGTATCCAAATCTTCCACCTGGGTTGTTGTCACCTCTACGTGCAGCAAATGTTGACACGGAGAAGCTTGCACGTGTTGCTGTTAAGCATAGCTTCCACAAGTATTTACGGCATGGAAGGCCTATCCTTACACGACGGGTAAATGAGCTTACTAATTAAGGGCATTCACTTTGTCTTTATTTTTTTCTTGTATTACTTATTGGCCAATAAATAATACACACTACCCTCCCCAGATCCCATAATGTGGGATAATACTGGGTATGTTGTTGTTGTTGTTGTACTTATTGGCCAATAACCTGCACAGTTCCTATATTTTAGCATTTGTTAGCTAATTAAGATAGCACGTCGGTGTCTAGCTGTTCCGTGTTTCTGTGCCAGTGGAAATTGAAGCATTTTTACGTACATATGAGTACATATGAAAGTAGCTCAGTTTTTCCATGTGTTTATAAGAAATCTTAAAAGTTTCCTTCTTCTTTTCCCTTCAAGATCTAATCCTGCTTATCATTTTTGTAGGGTTTGCAATAAATGTCTGAAGCATAACTATTTTGTTATAGAGCTGTTATGCTTTCTGCTTAATCCTTTTAAAATATCCAAAAAAGAGGTTTTTGCCTTCTTCTTTTTACTTCAAGATCTTTATCATTGACGAAACCAACAAGTTGGTGCTAACCCAATCTGGAGCAATATGAAGGCTCGTGCCACTGTAAGCCATACCTATAGCACCCAAGTCACAATAATTCACTGCACGATCAGCGGAGTGCCTGTATTTGTGCTTCTGACTAAGCAAAGATGCATGCCAAGAGCTGCTTAATAAATTAAAATGTATCCATGACCGCCATACCCTAGTTTGCCTGGTTCCTATGTCTAGTTGAATATTATAGGAATGGAGTGATGTAGTAAATCAATGTACTTATTCATTTGCTGATTGGCTTCTCCTATATTACACATTAGATGGTTTTCATTTGAACTGCTACTCTACTCTTCATTTCCTCTTAGAGAAAAGAATTTCAATACCAATTTGTACTCTCCTCCTCCGAGTTCCGCAATCAAAACCTTGGGCGGAAGAAAAGTCATAAAAGAAAGCAAAAACAACAGTTAGTGGAATAAGGAGGAAGATTTAACATAGTTGACCTTAAATTCTTTAATACTTCTTGAATTCTTTTTTCCACCTTGACTGTTTTTATTGAAAATATCTGTTAACCTTTGCGAAAGTCTCACTTTACTTCCTTTGTCTTTTCTCAATCTCGTATGAAATATGTTCATATTTTCATTGATATGTTGCTACTTCTTTACTGCTGTACCTTTTTCTTAGTGTTTTATTTTCAGGTTTTGTATGTGTCCCTGATCTTCTTCCACTTGACAAAAGTTATCTATATTCACAGATTCAATCATTTATAAATGCTCTTCCAGAGTATCCATTGCATTCCCATGGATTGATAAATGCTCCAAAGGTGCTTGCTGATGTTGTTGAATCAAATTTAGGAGCAGTATTTATTGATAGCAATTCTTCAATTGACATTACCTGGGAGGTGTGTTCTCTTTTTCCCCCTCAAATTCCTATTTTTAAGAGCAGTTCAATATTAGCC